TCCGAATTGTCATGATCATGGGTTCGACTTCCTTTGCCTGGCTCTGTGTAATTTCGTGGTGTGTGTAATTTTGTGGTACGCCATAGTAACGGTCGTGCTCTGACTATCCGTGACGTTGCATGGTATACTTCCAGGTTGTCTTGTGGCACTTGTCCCATCCTGCTCTGTGCATGTATTTTGACTTGTTATACACTTCGTGTGTTTTCAGGGGCATTCCCAGCTCAGGCTGGTATTCTGGGTCCGAACTCTACAAGGAGTCTTACCATCTCGTCTGGCCTGACATCATCGTTGACAAGGAACAAGGGGTACAACCTATCATTTTGCACTGGCAGGAGACTGTTTCGATTTTCGAGCGCGTGGATTTGCAAGTATTACTTGCCGAGCGCCGCTATGGATGCTCCATCAGGAACGCCATTGCAGCCGCAGCGGTGCGACTCGAATACTCCACTAGCGACCTAATCTTGACCAGGTCGTTCCTGGGCCCAGGAGTCAGGACTCGCTGAACTCATCGTTGGCAGTTCCCCAGGACATGGCCGTGTGGGCGAGGCAGGCGACCGTGGAGTTTTTCGAGGAGCAGGGCCGGGATGCAGACAGCGTAGTACGCATGTTGCTGGACAAGGCCCAGCGCATTAACCCACATAACACGTGGGACAGCATCTTTGACGCCACCACCACTCGCAAGGGGGTCGGGCTGCGCATGCCCTTGTGCGACAAGCGATCTGTGAGGCACGAGCGCGGGGGCAAACAGATCTGGCAGGATGAGCTCAGGCCTGTGATGCCCATCGGCGTCGTCGAGTTCACGTTCAAGCCGAGCGCGGCGGACCAAGCCGTGGAGATCTGCGCCAGCGCGGGCCTTGCCGAGCGGGAGGCGGACCGCCCGATGTGGCAGTGGGTGCGGATGGGCATGTGCCGCCGGCCTGAGGGCACACCTCTCACGTACATGAAGCGCGTGCCGCTGCACCGCCCGCCGCCCGCCCCGAGGGCGGTCCTCGTGAAGAGGCAGCCTGGGCGGCGCATGCCTGGTAGCGGTACGACGGCGCAGCGCCTGAAGGCCAGCGTCAAGAACAGGCGCCCCAGCGACGCCCCCAGCGGCGCAGGAGCCTCGAGTGACCCACTCGGTGGCCCCGAGGCAGCCGCGGCCAAGGGGGCGCGGCCTTGGAACACGTGGGTGCGCCGAGACCAACAGGTCCCTGCGGCTGCGCCTGCGGCTGCGGCTGCGGCTGCGGCTGCGGCTGCGGCCGCGCCTGCGGCTGCGGCTGCGGCTGCGCCTGCGGCTGCGCCCGCGGCAGCGCCCGCGGCAGCGCCCGCGGCAGCGCCCGCGGCAGCGCCCGCGGCAGCGCCCGCGGCAGCGCCCGCGGCAGCGCCCGCGGCAGCGCCCACAGTCGGCGAGGTGCTGATCGGGTACCCCCGCGTGGCGCCCCCGCCCCCGGAGGCCTTCGAGGAGGCGGCGCCCGCGGGCCTCGGGGGCGCGCCGCGCGCCGAGGGCGCGCCGCGGCCCGCCGAGGTCGAGCCGACGGCGCAGGTCGGGTCCGAGGGGCTGTGCGCTCCCGCCTCGCCCGCTCCGCCGGCGACGGAGGACGCCAGCGCCGCCGAGCAGCTGGCGCCCGCTGGCGCCGCCATGGATGGCCTCCTGGGGAGCGTCGTGATGGTGCAGGGCCTTGTGGTGGGTTGGGTGGTAAAGGGGGCGGTAGCTGAGTGGGTGCTTTCCAACCCAGCCAGAACGTAAGAGTTAGGGGTTCGGAAGCGTTGGGCACAACGGGCTTCTGCGAGCTTTGCCCCTGGCGCCGGCCCCCCAGCCTACGCCCCTGTCAACTAGCGCCCGGTCTGCGGGCCTTTGGGAGATCGGAGGAGTGCGGCCCGAGGCAACCCAGAGACCCTGGCGTCGCATCTTTTTCACACTGGGCACTGGGCGCTCTCGCCTTGTGTTGGGTCCAGCGCCCAGGGACCCTTGCGGATCGATCCGGCTCGGAGGTGGGTGCAGGTCTCCAGTTCGGGTTTGCTAGAAGTGCCCCTGGCCCCAGGTGCCCCCAGGATTTTAAGGAGGCTCCCGCGGCCTCCGGAGCACCACTCACGAGGTCCATGGGGCCCCAGGGGCGCCAAAATTGAGCGAAAAGCTGGGGGCACCTTGGGCCAGGGGCACCTTGAGCAACCCTCGACCAGTGGAGTTGTTTCTGTCGTGGTGCTGTTTTTGCCGCAGGATCTCGGGGGGGGGGCCGGTGGAGGCATGGGTGGCCCTTCCTGGGCGTTGCTCTCGCCCTCTCTGGATCTCCTGTGGGGGCCTTTCGTCGCCACGGCTGGGGCCGCCTCGAAGAACGGCCAGGATGGAGACGAGGAGGGGGCCAGCTGTGATCGGGAACAACCAGGATGGAGACAAGAATGGCGACAGGGAGGGGGCAGCATGATGACAGGTTTTGGTGGGAGCGGGGCCAGGCGGGAGAACTGCCGCTGTCTCAGCCCGCCCTCCTCCCACCAGGGCAGCCCGCACCTCAACGGCCAGCTGGGCGAGGTCGTCGGGTGGCTGCCCCGCGCCGGCCGCTACGAGGTGGAGCTGGCGGACGACAGCCGCAAGTCTATCCGGCCCGTCAACCTCGCGCTCGCGGTTCGGGGATCCGCACTTCCAAGGGGATCGGGATGCTTCTTGCATCTGGGCCTCCCCAGCGGGCTCCGAGTAGGTCGGGTCGGAGGATCGCGCTGCATCGCCGATGCGTCGTTTGCGAGGCTCGATGTGGAGACCGACTTTCGCCAGCGATGTCGCCGATGCGTCGGCGATGTATCGGCGATGCGGCGCGATCCTCCGACCCCATCTGCTTTCACCCTGTTTGGGAGGCCTCCATTGCACACACGTCGCTCCTCCCACCCAGGCATGCAACACGTTTTTTGTTGTTTTTTTGTGCAATGCGTGGTCCCCGAAAGTCCCGAATCCTTCTCCATGGCCCGTATGCAATCCCAGATCTTTTTTGACGGTCCCAGGGCCTCGAAACCGTCCCCAGAGGACGACAATTGCAACACGGCCTTTGTCTTTTTCTGAAGACGCTGGAGGCATTTGGAAAAGGGATCTGGGGCAAGTTGAAAACCATATCCCTGGTGTGTCACAGAAAACAGGACGGAACTCCTTCGGCGTGTTCGGCCTCTGGGGGCCCTCGCTGGGCGCCGGGACCGCCAAAACCGGCCGTAGTGCATCCCCGAGGGACTTCTACAGTGAGGGACCATGACAAGAGACACCGTTTCGTCAGGGGGCCAGGGGGCCCTTGGTTTCTTCGTTTGCAGCCGAAGTGCAAGAAACCTAACCCTGGACCAAGAAAACTCGGCGGATTTCAGGGTTGGGTTTCCCGCGGTGGGTTTCTCGTGCGTCGACCCCCACTGTACGACCCGCGTAGCCCGAGCCGCAGCCCGAGCCCACGCCTGCTGCCTCCGCCCAGCCCGCGTTGGGCCCTGCCTCCAGGCGCCGCTCCCCGCCGCCGCCGCGGCGCACGGCGCGGACCCGGCCGAGAGGCCGCGTCTGGAGCGAACGGGGCCCTGGCCCGGCCAGCTCCCAGAGCCCAACCCCCGAAGTCCTGAGATACCTTGGCGCTGTAGTTGCTCTTCACGCCCGGTGCTCTCGCCCAGGTTCGGGCTCCAGGGCCCCCTACAGATCCATGCGGCCTGAAACATGCAGCAGAGAGATGGAATCGAGGGCCCTGGCCGTGGTTTTTCT